TGCCAGATTTTAATAAAACACATTTGGTTATTTACCATCTGGAACCCAAGCTAAAAGCACTCCACAACAGTTTTTGGTGAATTACCACAAAAAAATTGTTTTACCAAAATGGGTGCCTTCTCACAATTTATTTCTTATTTTTTTTTTTGAGTTCTCTTTGAAATAAAAGTTCGCTTCGGATTTAATCGGAGAGTTACGAAAATTATCGATTTAATCGTTTATCGTAAATGAGAGCACTTTTTGCGAAGATCTACATATACCTTCATTTCCCTTAATCTGCAAACGAACTGCAAACTAAATACTAACTAAGTCAAAGTAGCAAAGTAGTGAAGTGTCAAAAACGCCCTTTTTATGCAAATCGTGAAAGTTTTGGTGTTTTATACTGTTAAAGTAATAGTATCGAATAAAAGATCTCAACACATTTATTTTATTAACTAATTTTTCAAAGGAAAATATTTATTTAAATTAAGCACAAACATACATATATTATGAACCTTTTTAATTTGCAAGAATAACTCAAATAAAAAATCCTCACTTCTTCTACAGTAATTATCGTAAATTTAAAACTATTCAACTATAACAAAATTGGACGGAAAATTTCTATATATAAGTATATACAAACCTACTTAAATGATTATTATGTATATGTGTAGTATAAAATCATTAAATCTGTTTACTTTACGTTTCCCACTTTCATTCGAAATTTTATCCTCTTTGTATAGAAAAGAAATAAGAAAAAGAAAAACACCGAAAAGAAAAACCTATACTTTAATTCTCTAAATTCAATATTTATTTTGGTATTAACCAACTTATACTTGCTATGGTATATGTATATGTACAAGTGCTATATATTAAGTATAAAGTACTTATGCATGAATATTTTACTCGCTATTATCATTTACCACTACCATTTATCATCTATATTTTAAACCTTGTGCAAGTTCAAACCTAATTCACTAGTGAATCAACAATTCATTAGGCTTTACAAGCCAATTACCAAATGGATGAGCACAGAAAAAAAAAACAAGAGGAATATAACTAGAAAAAGAAAAATATAACAAGTAAAACTTTTTGTATAATATTATATAAAGAGAAAATGAGGGATCGAATTGGGTTTTTGCTACTTTCCATAATCGGATCATGAGAAGATTTCAATATTTTTCCTATGCATTCCGCACACACAGTTATCGTATTTGATTTTTCATTTTCTTCTTTTTTTTAATATATTCGTACTTTTTTCCGGTCTGTTTATTTTTCCCGGAATTCAGAGTGGTAAAAACTAAAAGGAAAAAACAAAATTAAAGAAAAAATTGAAATCAAGTGAAAAAAAACGAAGAAAAAATCCCTAAACTAACATAAAAGTCAAGCTGACATAACCTCATTTTCATTTCTTGTTCTTCACTTGTCTTCTTCTTCTTCCATTTTTTTTTATAAAATCTTTTATTTAAAAAAAATAAGGAAAAATACAATACACATAAATCAAGAGATATTCATTTTCGTGTTATCCCAATACTGAACTTTTAAATGCAATATATATAATAAAAATATTTTAAATAAAAGGAAAACGGGATCGGAAAAGGCGATCAGAAGCAAAAAAAGAAAAACCAGATTTTAAAATAAATAAGAATATTTTCTTTTTTTCCAATTTTTGTTTTTTTTTCCCTTTAATTACAATATTTAAAAGGCTTTTATTGTAATTCCGACTGGTAATCTTTCACAAGTTTGGATAATTTATAAGATTCGAAATAAATTCGGAAATATCCAAATTGTTTGTGTCTACTTGCCAGAGTGGAAAAACGAAAAGAATTTAATGAAAATGTTAAAAAAGAAAATTTTGATATTATCCATAAGATTTATTTACACTTAATTTGTCAATAAATTTTAAATTGATAGTCGGAAAATGTTTTCTATTAATATTATATAAGAGTTTTCGGCAATTATTCAAAGAATAATTATTATAACCGGAAAAACACCATAGAAATATCCGAAATATAGTAACTTTTTAAACAAATCATCCGGTAAAGAGTTTTAGTTGAAGTAAATTTCGCGAAAAATATGGACATAGTTCCAATAATCAATAATGGGTAGCAATACGCTTTGTCTTATTTAAATTTCAAAAAATTTACTTTTTTCTTTTAAATACTTATTAAAATTGATAAATTATATGTATACCGATACCACAGAGCAGATTATATGTGCACGCAAGAATGAAATTTTTATAATAGAACGTATACATGAATTTGTGCCATATCATAGCACAATTAAATCACTTCTGCAGAGTCGTATCACATTCTGTCCGATAGCATTTAAAAAAGGAATCAGAGGGGACATAGTCAGAGCACTGGCGGAGCCCTCCCAGGCTGCAACAGGGCAACGAGCTTATGTATGGGATATTATGATCAAAAACAATTAAAGAAGATTATATAGTTGGGGAAATTCAGGTAAGAATCCTCTCCGGAGTCATATCGAGGACACTTGCAGGTTCTGTAGGTAGGATGAGCAAACTTTAGTACACATTCTAAGAGAAAGTGATGCTCTCGTTTCTTGAAGAAGAAAGGTTTTAGGAGTTGCGGTCTTCTGGGCCTAACAGTTAGCTCGAATTCATCAGAGGGTGGGTCTCGAGCAGGTGCTGCAGGTTATGTCTCGTACTCAAATGAGAAAATAAGAGATCCTTATACGTGATCCTGGTTACCCCAATTGTACAAATCTATAAATCTGCTACTAACATTTTCAATATAATTTACAACTTCATCAACAGAAATGATTTCATTATTAAAAACATCAACGTAAAAGATCAAAGTATACGATAATGTCATATGTTTTTTTGGATGAATGACCTTTTATTCCATTTTATACTACGTAAATTTTAATAAATAATAAAAAAAATTCTTTTCAAAATCTTCAAGTTGAAAGCATATTTAAAAAAAAAAAAAAACAACAACAATAACTAAAATATTAATATTGTGATGAAAATTTATGATATTCCAACTTTTAGTGTAGATAAGCCATTAAACTTGTTTCCACAAACCCTAGTATTAATAAATAAAAAAAAAAAACTAAAATGTTGGAGATGAAAAATAAAATACGACAAAAAAACTTATCAAAATTCTAAAAATAAATGTGCCTTTCATACAAAATTTTTTTTGTTCTGCTCCTTATGACCTTTCACATCACCTTATGCATTATTGACCTTTGCTCCTCATTTTTTTTTTTTGTGTGTGTTCTTTTCTTGTACAAATTTTGTGTTTATCAGGATAATGATTTAGATTTTTTTCCTTTTATTTTTAAATTAAAACATAAAACGAATAATGAGCCACTTGTAAAATTTTCTCATTTTTTATATACACATACAATAACAAAAAAAAAATATTATTATCCTTAAAATATGTTTTCTTGATTTTTTATATTATAGTTTTTCTTTTTTCATATCCTTATATTTTGATGCTTTCTGAATTTTTTATGCATATTGTTGCAAAGAAATATTGGAAATTTTTTTTTCTTGTTTTGGTAATTTTTATTCAATATGAAATTTATTGAAAATATTTTTATGACTCTATTAAATTTATTTTGGAACTAAAACAGTTTCAAGCTTGAAAAAACTCCTATAAAATTTGGAAACCTTTTAATTTTTTTTTTGCTTCCTTATTGTATTCTGTTTTGTTGTTGTTTTTGTGTTATTTACTTTTGTATCCTTTTTGTTTTTTATTGTTTTTCTTTTGTTTTGATAATAATATGAAGTTATTAGGTACGGATTATAATGTCATTAAATATTCTTGTTTTTCGTAGTTTTCTTTTCCCTTTGAATTTTGAATTTTTTTTTTTTTTTGTTATAAATAAATAAAAAAACACAAAAAGAAGAATAAAAAGTTTTGTAAATAAATAATCGAAAACAAAGCAGAAAAAGGAAGAAAAAAAATAATTTATGTAAAACAATAAATGTCCTTAGGGAATTCCTTTTCGAAATATACAAGGTTTTTGTATAAATAATAAAAAAGAAAACAGAAGGAACATGAAGAAAAAAGAAGAGAATAAAAATAAAGAGAATGAGCTTAGCAAAGATACGGCAGCACTGTCAGTTTAAAGCAGACATTTAATATAAAAATTTTATACGAAAAAAAAATGGTTCCTGATTTTTTTTTTCATTTTTGGAGTAAGAAACATGAGAATTTTATTTAATTGAATTTAAGGAATTTTTAAATGCAATAAACATTAAATTTTTCATATGTATGTATAATTCTTGAATATGTGAATATGTTTATTTGTGTGTAATACAATTTGAGAGTAATATTAATTCAGAGAAAATTTATGTGATTGTTGTATAAATATTTCTAATCATTAACATTTCTTATTCTACTTCTTATATATATTTGAACAGAAAATGAAAGAGACTGGGAGAGAGACAATCAATTACTAAATTCTCTTCGGAATTAAATTCAATTGGTAACCCTATATACAATCATAACAAACTAATTAATTTTACGTTATCTAAATGTGCAAGTATATTTTAACATTAAATTACTAGTTAATTTTATTGCACATTAATTAATTATAAATATTTAATCAAATTTAAAGTGAAATAAAAATAAATAGTACATACTCGTATATTAAATTAAATTAAAATAAAAAAAAAAAAACTATAGGACAGCATTTTTTTTTCGTGATAACTCCCCATCAATTTATTGCCAGTATCTGATTAATTTTAACCGCAACTCAGAACCAAATACAAAAACAAAAAAACAGGAATATTAAAAAAAGGACATTTAATATTCACGTTATTGTTGAAAATTATTTTTAAATTCAACTCACGTTCAATCAATTAATTTTTGTTGGTTTTTTATTATGGTTAAATAGAATGACAACCCTATCCCTATATATATAGTTGATTTTAATTATTATAATTATTTTTCATCAATCGGTTACAAAAAAAAAAGGAAAAATCAATAGCAAATATTAAAATTAAATAAAATTAATCAGAAAAAAAATAATTAATCAATTCTTACCTCACATCTGGATGTGCATCCAACATTGCTCTCATTAATGTTGTACCTGATCTAGGTACACCACCAATAAATATTAATGGCATTTCACGATTATATGAATAGGCTTTATGATCACTTCCCGTCACATATTTCTAAAGAGAAATAAAAAATTAATTAGAAAAAGTTTATTAAAATGTTTTGCATGCACAAATATTGCGACAATTATAAATTTACTTGCATGCAAGTGCATACACAAAATAATATCAACATTTTCAGCAATACAAATACAAATTTTGTGCCAGTTTTCTTTAATCTTTCAACTACATGCCTATAATTGGCAAGTATGTAATTGAAAACAGTATTGCGTTCGAAAAACTGAAACAGTAATTGAAATATATTGGTCAGAGTTTTTATTAGAATCTCACAACTATACTCGTAACTATGCAATTGAGAAGTAATTGAGAGACAGTATTGGGTTAGAACAATTGAAACAGTAACTGCAGACAGTATATTGTATTGTGACAGTTTTTATTAGAATCTCATTTTAAGAATGGTTTGACCGAGCTAGTTGTTTAATTTTAAGCGCAAAATTAATTAAAGAACAATTTCAAAATATTAAATATGCAAAGCTCAGAATTTAGCATTAAAAAATCTCTTTGTTCCAGTTCTAAAACACGCAATTACGTAATTAAAATAAATGGATATTTTTCAAAAAATTTTAATACTTTATTAGTAATTATTAAAATTTTCTGGAAAAATTTCTTTAATGCACGTACAGAAATAAGCAATTGAAATATCTAAAAAGTATTAAATTTACATTCACGAAATACTAATTTAGCATTACTGAAAACAATCTCTAATTTCAAAACTGCAGCAACAAGACATATTTATATACACAATTTAATTTATGAGTTTTTAATTGTCGAATTGTGCAGAAATAAGAAATTACTGCCATTTTCAACCATTGTAATTATTCATTACTGATATTGTAAAAATTTAAATTCAACTTTTTCATTTAACCCTTATAAAAACTGAGTTGTAATTAAAATGGTATGTGCCACATTTTAACTAGAAATCGTCTCTTATTTAATTACTTTAAATTTCATTAAAAAATATTGAATTTTCAACATTTTTCCATTTTAAATTAATTTCTACATTCCATATGATTTCTAACCCTCAACATCATATACAAAATTGAATAACGCAAAGGACAATGACATTATTTACGATTTATTGGAGAAACAATTTATCAATCTTCTTTGTATACGTATATATAGAGAATTTTAATTTTTCTCTCTCACACTCAGTCATTATTTCTTCTTTTTTTTCCAACACACACTTTTAAATAAATGTTATACACCATATCAATTGATTTATAGTTTGTCTCCTTTTCAATTCTGATAATATTATTTTCATGACAGAATTTTATGTATTGGAATAATCAGAACTTTTATGTATTGACATCACTACGTATGGCCTATTATAACATCAGATCTATCAACAGGATTCATTATTTTCAATAAACAAAAAAAAAACAAAAACAAAAACAATGAACGCAATTAGGATACATTTTTTTTTTGTTTGTTTTTTATTTTGTTATTTTTAAGAATGATTTATTGAGAGTTAAAGCTAGAAAATTTGTAAATTAAATCTAAATGTCTTAATAATGAAATTTAAAGACTTAATAAGGATTTATTAGAAAAACCTTAAGTGACAGGTCTAAAAGTTAATTTTTCAATTTTTGTCCTTTTTTTTTTTTTAATTTTGATTTTAAAGGGAAATGAGTGTGAATAAAATTTTCCAGAACAGTATAATGATGTCTACATACGATTAAAATGATTAATATTTAATACGTGTGGATAAAAGTTGTAAGATATTCAAAGTATGAAAAAAATTTCTTAAACTTTTTCTTATTTAATTCCAGGAAATAATCAAATTTTGTAACTCACACCACTTTTTTGATATCTTATTTTCATTATTCTTTAATGATATTCGATTTTTCATTTTGTTTTCTAAAAAAAAAATTTTTATTTGAATATCAAAGAATTCCGGTTATCAAATTTCATAAATCAAAAAATTTTATTTCTTTTCTTTGAAATAATAACAAAAGAAAATTGTACAACTCCCGGTTGGTTGGCAAATATTTGTCTTCACATATGAAAATATTTTTAATTTGCATCTGATGAAATGAAAAATATTTGAACTAGTTACTAAAATATTGTATTGGCACTTATTTGGGATATTCAAATGGTCTCCCATATAAAAAGCTGTACTCTTCATTCCAATTCATTTCTAAACAAATTTTGAAAACAAGAGAATGTTACGCATAGCATGTTGCAGTACACGGTTAAATCTATTTAGGCATAGGGTTTTCAATTAAAATTTTGGAGCTAGTATAGAATCTAGAGTTTGATCTTATAAACAAAAATTTCAGGACTCTAAAAATCAAATGGAAATTTTATAAAAATACTTATATTTGCTTTTCCTTTCATCATATTTTTTGTTTTTATTAAAGTCGACAAAATTTAAAAGTAAGAAGTAAACTAGACAAAGCAGTAGCCCTGCATGAATTTCTATATATAAATTTCTTTCAAAAAAAGAGAAACTCTGTTTTCTTTCATTCACTCATAAATGAATGAAAAAATAATTTATTGTAAAAAAAAATATAAGAATAACTTAAAATCTATAATGATTTATCAATAATTTCACATACCCCCATTATCATTTGTTCCCTTAGTAACATAAAAATTTTTAACAAATTTATCTATGCATTCAAAATTATTTTTTTTTTTCTTTTCAATTCTCCTAAAATATCCTTTTCTTCCTATATTACGCATTAAATTTTTCCTATATATATGCTAAAAATATATTTTACATAATTTTAAACAAATTTAATGATATCAGCAGAGTTCATTTTCTTTTTTGGTTTTTTACTATAAAGTTATTTTACTATAGTTTCGAAATTATAATTTTTAATTTATTTTCAATTTTAAAATTGTTTCTTTATTGCAATGTTCAATTCCTATAAATTTTTTCCCTACCATTAATTTTTATTTATTCGTAATACTATTATCTAATATAGGTTGTATAACAGTTTAATTTGGAAAATGAAATTATTTTCGGTTATTGTTTAATGAACTTCCCATATGAATTTTCATTCTAAATGCAGAAACTATTAAAAAATGGTAAATGTTTCCATATTATAGACACAAGTTCTCTTTCTTTTACAATTTCAAACAATTTTAGGCTTACTAGAATTAAATATTTGAAAATAAATGTAATATTAAAAATTCGAAATAATTTTAAATTCTACTACAATTAAATTTTTACAACTCGATAACACTTATTTCTAATTCGTTCTTATGATTCGTAAAATTTTTCAAAAAGAAAGATAGGAGAGAGAATATAAACTACGAATATAACGAGAAAGAAGAAAATAAATGGATTCGGTAATCGGTAATCGAATATTGAAAACAAATAAAGAAAAAATGACAAAAGAAAAAATATACAAATTTACTTTTTTCTGTCTCTTTCTAAAATATCTTTTAGCATTTTCTTTATTTTCTTTTCTTCTGTCAAAATAAAAATATTAGGTTCGCCGAAAAAGTAAAAATAAACTTTTAAAATCTACCCTTTTCAATTCGGTTTCAAAACTCAAAGATCCGTTTTTACTGTTATTTTTTTTCAGATGAAAAATTTCGACGATAAGAGTTTTTTTTTACTGGTTTTCTCTTTGTCCCACATTTGTGTTTGTTCGTGTAAACTTTTATGTTTTTTTGTGTTGTTTGACTGCTTTTTCTATTATCTCTTGTATTTTTTTTTGTTATATTTTTTGGCAAAATCTTTTACTGTATGCAATGAACTGAAAAGCAATAACTTATTTTTGTTTCCCCTGTCTGTTGCGCTGCTTTCATTCCGCAAATTTTTTCGTTCTTTTTTAGTTCTTTTTTTTTTAAATTTCAAATTTTTAAAATTCTTTACATTTTTTTCAACTTTATTTTCTTTTATTTACACAAAAACACTTTGGGGAAATCCTGTCCAAATATAATCACCATCCACAAAATTCTCTGTATATATAAAAATGAGAGAAAAAAAAGAGAAAAAACGGAAAAAAAAATGCTCTTAAAATGAAGTGAAGGATATCGTGGATATCTTTGTAATAATGAAAATATTAAATACAAGTTAGATTAAAAGTAGCAGATTATGGGAAAGTACATTTCTCTTTAATATTTTTGAGCCGTTGCAGAAAATTAGTATTGCTAATGGCAAATAACTGAAAACATGTTGAGAATGATGCTGAACACTAAGAAGATAACGTATATATAACGTATACATAGAACGTATAACGTAGGATAAGCTGATAATAGGGTAGTAGAAGACAACAACCAACAAACTTGTCTTAAAACACTTAAATTCTCAATTAGGTAAGTAAATTCTTACAATTTTAAGATTAAAAGACTTTTAAACTTTGCTACACGAGTCCGTTACCTAGTTCCAATGTAGCTTATTTTCCTGATAAGAAATATAGTATCCGAACCTTCGATAAAAATTATTGGAAAAATATAATAGCCAACACAGTCGCACAGATAGACCAATAGGAAAGAATTCCAGTAGCAAATTATTTTTTATATTTACAGAAAAAACACCAACAATGTATGCATATAAAAATTAAGAATAATAAACGAACAAAAAATTAAAGCGAATAAGAAAGAATTTTTGAAAAAAAAAAAAAAAAAAAAAAATTCACTTTACACAATTTAACAAGCCACACTTTAAACATTGATCGTACATGGGTTGAAAAATTGTTTGAGAAAAGAAAAAACAAAAAATACACTTGGGGCTTCTGACACAGAGAACTACAAGTGTTAAAAATTTACAAGTTCTTTTTTAAAAAAAAAATTTTTGTTTCTTTAAAAAAATAAAAAAACTCACTTTAAATATACTTGGAAAAAAATGTGACAATGACGAACTTAAGTTTTAAGTAATTTTTAACCAGAAATAATCCAGATTGTCTTGCGAATTGATTAAGAGATAAAATAATTTATTCAATTAGGCATAGGTCTATAATATTCAAAATATTTCCGGTAACAAAAATGACAAAACGAATATTGACATGAAATAGGAAAAGGAAAAACGAGTGTGAGTCAAATTTTTCAAAGAATAATTTAAAGTCGATTTCGAAAGTCAATGATCGTAAAATGAAAACAAAGGAAAACAGTTGAATTAGTAATAAAACCCACATATTTATTATTTTTAAGAATAGAACGGTACGTAAAAAGGACAATAAAAATTGGTAGAGAACAAACGAAAAAAATTGCCTAAATTTATGCAATTTTTCATATTTTTTATTAACAGCCTTTATAAGCTTTTCGATAGAGTAATCAAAACTAGTTTCATGTAATCTTTCTATTTTCCTTCGGTTAGATGTTTCTATATCCTACTACATGCAGTTGGTTAGTAAAATTCCTAAAATTTTGCATTTTATCGTTTTGATAACAACGCGAAATCCTCTAATTTTATGTACAAATTACAAACAGTATTTTAACAATTGCAACTGTATATATACCAAAAATTATGACCCATATTACAGTTATATACAACATAGTGATTTTAATTGAAATTTATGCGAAATTAGGTTTTATTTCAATAAAAAGTAAATTTCTATTATATACAAATCCTTCATTTCTTATAACATTGATTTAGGAAATATAAATAATTTATAAATAATTACACAAATTCAAGGATTAAGTAATTTTCTTTCGTATATTTCATTTATTTATTTTATTTTTTGAAAATATTTTTGTTTTTTTATTTAAAATATTTAATTTACATTTACATTCCGGTAATAAATTCTCATGGAGTAGTATATTTACACAACATTAAACTTTAATATAATTTTTCTCTTTTAGTTATTAAACAATTTCATTATTCAATAAGAGAATTATTTTGTGTCATACAAGTGCTTACTAAAAGGATACAAAGAGTTCGAGTTAAAAATTTTGTATTATAGCAATTTTCTTCAAAACAACTACTGATGTGTAGTTAAAATGAGTAGTAGTTTATTCCATCATATCCTCTCTCAAACAAGCTCTCGCTCTCAATTAAAAAAAACATTGATTTGGCCAGTAAATAACATATCACCTATGTATTTCAAGGATAATATTTTCAAACGAAATTAAAGATAACATTATGTGATGTAAGTTTTAAGCTATAGCTAGCGCTAACCTATATTAAAAACTAATCTTAGAACAAACAAGATGTTTTAAAATAATTTATATTTAAATATGGAATGCATTACGAACGTATAAGGAAATCTAAACGCACACAGTAAAAATCACAAAATGCTAAAAATTCAAATAAAATTACAAAAACTTCCAAAAATCAAAAATCTACTTACATCCCAACATCATATAGAACAAAAATGAAAATACAAGTTTGACCCTCTTTGGGGATATAACCGGAAATTGCGTAATTATAACTCACAAAAATAATCAGTAACAGTAAAGAAAAAAAAAAAACTAAATGAAAAAGGAAAAATCTTAATTCCGTTAAAATCCGCTTACAAATTTTAATGATTATTTGAAAATGTTTTTCCATTATACGATTTAGAATTTAAGCAAAGAGGGTAAATAAGAGCAAGAGAGAGAGAGAAAGAGAAAACATAAAAAAATTTTTTAAATTATTTTCAAAATAATATACAACTTTTATTACCGTTATTATTGTTATTGTGCTCTCGCTTTTGTCTTAATTTTTGCTCTTTATTATTTTTATCTTCTTTTTTATTCTTTTTTTTTTTTTTTAAATAAAAAAAACATGGCTTTTTCCATTAGCAGGAAATGGAAATGGAATTAGTCATGTTCAAAAATTGTACGGAAATACGAAAAAATACAACTACATACATACATAAAATATTACAAGAGTACCAAAAAATAAAAGACATAGAAACTCTTTAAGTTCAGTTCTCCTTGTTTTGCGTTTTTTCATTAACTTATTATCTTTAGAAAGACCGGAAGAAATCCTTTTTTTTGTTATTTTGAAATCTGTACAGTAAGGTCATAAAATATAGTTTTAAAAATAAATTAAAATTAAATAGTCTACGACTCAAACTGGTGGAATATTCATCATAGAAAAATGCGGAAGCAGTTTAGAAAAAACTAGGAAATTTATAGAAAATTTTGATTTACAGGATAATCTACTAAATTTTATTATAAACTCTTGAAACTCTGTCTTTAAAACACAGAAGTTGGCTACCGAGAACAATAACCACAAATCTACAAGCTAGTAGATGACGTCCACATGCAATTGGACGTTTTTGAAAAAAAAAAAAAAAAATATAATAGAAAAGTACATAACTAAAGTAAAAGCGAAAGGATTAAAGCTACGAAGAAGGCAAACAAGTTTCGGCAACCAAAATAAGCTTTTGGGTTTCAATGTGATCAGTTGAATGAATTGAGTTCAATATTAAACGGGGTGTAGGACTTCAAAATCATATTTATTGTTCTGTATCACACTCTGTATCACAATGCAATGAGAAAATATTTTTTTTTAAATAACTATTTTTTTAAAATTCATATTTGTTTTTACGTTTTTTTTAGTAAATGTTGAGAAGATTTAAAACAAACAAACATTTACACTTTTAATATTTATGAAATAGAATATTAAATATTAACTGAACTAATGCATACAAAACACAAAAAAAAAGAATTATTGTAGAAAAAAACAACACTCACCTCTTCTCTTATCATTAATGGTTCATCTCTAAGCAAACATGTTGGACGTAATTCAGTAAATTTGAACACAAACATTGTAATAGCTACCATACCAAACATAACCCAAAATAGGGCTATTTTACGATTTCTGTAAGGCAGTCGCATTTTCTCTTCTTTTTTATTATTATTAACACTATTTTCAACTAATTGAATTCGGCTATTACTACGTACAATATTTGTGAACCCCAGGTTGAAAGTTTTATATATACTAAAAAGAAATTAAAATAAAAAAATTTGATTAATTATTCTTTTTTTTCAATTAATTTTAAATTAGATTAAATTTTTAGAATTTAAATTTGTTTCGAATAATTCAAACTCGAATAATGTCATATTTTTGAAAAAAATTAAATATTCTGACTTTGTAGAATTTAAAATTATTATTTTCAGTGATTGCTTTTTTTTCAATATTTCAAAATCATAGTAAATTCGAAAATATAATATAATTTTTTCGGATTCTCACTTCAATTCGATTACCGTAAAGTTATTCCAGTTAAATTACCCTAAAGGTGTAATCAGAAACGAACATGGGATTCAAAAATTTTACGCAAAAATTAGAAAACTGAAAAATTTTAAAATCACAAAATTTTTGTAAGTATATACAGGCCAGGTTCTGACTTTTTACGTGCCCTATGCAGTTTTCCGAGAAGTACGCTCCGCTTTGCAGAGAAGTGAAGAATAGGCAATTAACATTGCGCCCTTGTTTTCGGTGCCCATTGTATATGCTTACTTTACAAATATGATAGATCCGGCACTGCGTACGTACATACTTTTTTTTTAATCCTACACATTAAAATTTTTGGCATAAATTTTAAAGTTTATTTTTTGTTTTTCGTTTCTTTTCTTTTTTTTAAATCACTGATACGAACGAATCATAATGTTATATAGTTTTTTAAAAATTGGAACAAAAATCATTTATGCTCTGTTAAATTTAGTTTTTCCTCCAACACACCAATTATTTTTTATATATGATTTTAAATATTATACTTATGCTTTAAAACCAGTTTACACACAAAAAACAAAAAAAAAAAACAAAAAAAAATAATTTGAAATGAGAAGTTTAGGACTTCACAAAATGCTTAAATTTTTTAAAATACTTTTAATGTTCTTAACCCAAAAAAGCAAAAAAAAAACACGTAACGAAAATTGTCCTAAAAATGAAACAAAATGAAAAGGAAAAAGAAAAGAGGGAAAATCGATATGAAAAAACGAAAAAGAAAATGAAAATTTTTCTTCCGTTTCAACAATTACCATTCAATTCGAAATTTTAAAGCAAAATATTGTGTGTAGGTAAAATGAAATTTAATGTGAACATAAAATTTTTATTCTATAGAAAATTTCTTTTAAATTCAATCATGTTATATAAGTGTGTTTTCATAACACAATTTAAAATCAGGTCTAACTCAATTATTTGAAGATGATTTTAACAAGCATTTAAAGTTCATTCATTATTCTAGTGAAAATAATGGAAATTCTCACTTCTAATAACAAAACTAATTTTATGTCAGGGTCAAATATGTTGTCACCTCTACATTTTTAAAATAGAACACTATACATACGTGTCTCTGATCTTGACAAAAAGGCGCAATTATATTTACGATCAAGTTCATTTTAATTTAATTTAATTTTTCACAAAAAATTTTCACACCATTCAAACAAAAATTATATTATGAACAATGCAATAAAGAGAAAAAATTCAAGGACTTTTAATTTTATATATTATGTGTAGGTCTGTAGAGATGTATGTGAATAAATTTGTACAGTTAGAAATTGTATTGTTCTCATTTGTTTTAAGAGTCAAACAAAAAAAAAAAATTTTTTTTTGTTTTCTTCAAAAAAAAAAAGGACGGGGCTCTCCTTGGATTTAAATCATTAAAATAATTTTTATTTTATATATTTATTATATACAAGTATTTTTTGTATAACACTTGAAAAATATGAAGAGAAAGGAGGACAATCACCTTGAATTTAAATATTATGTGAGGACAGATAAAATATGAATGCTATTTTAAGAACACATACAAACGTTTGTGTATATTGTAATAAAATTTTGGAAATTTTAACCCGATACTCTTTAATGTTGCCAATGTTACTAAATTTTTCGGATTTAAGTTAGTTGTTTCCCTCAAATTAAATTATAAATGCATTTGTGATGTACAATTGGTTTTCTCCTAAAATTTTATTCTTTTAAAATTTTTTTTGCTCCCTATAAATCCATTAGCAGAAATATTAGTTAGGATAACAGAAAAAAAAAATAAAAAAATACAATAAAGTGCTAAAAATAAAAATTTATATTGACAACAAAATTCAATTAATAATGAATGAAAAACAGGGTGAATTAATAATGAATGAATACAGGGTGAATCAGCAACAAACTAAGAGCTATGTATCATCAGGGAGAAACGGTTTTTGTGCTAGAACTCCTGTATCATAAAACATTTTTAACGCTTAATGACTTAAATTAAAGCTTAAGCAACTGAATTCTGTACAGGGCATTTTGGAAGTTTCAAAAAATTTCGTGCTTCTTTCGTGAAAATTTCGGGGGGAAAAAAAGTAAAACAAAGAAAAGATGAGGAAAATTGGAATTCTCCAAAAGTTCAAACTCTTTTATATTTTCAAAAAAGCATATGAAACTTAATAACGTACTTAATTTTAAGCCCTTTTAAAAACTGTTTGTTTGAAGCTTCTACCTTTTTGAGAAGAGAAGTTATAAACCAAAAAAACTTAGATGTGTTAAAGATCTGCTCCATCAAATTTTCTTAAAATTCCTGTAGCTCGAAAACGGGTGCGATATAACGCTATATTCCGAATAAAAATTTTACTCATCTACTTTCGACCATATACCCGATGATATATGGGTTCTGATTTCTTGCTGAATCACCTTGTGTATATATATATACATTAAAAGATTTATACAAAATTTAAGAACATTCTGTGGTTCTGAATAAAAGTTTATTGAACTTTTAATGTACCTAGGTATAGGTGAATTTTAAATAAAAAAGTTAAAAAATGGCTTTTAGGGATTTGTAGTGTATAACAATGAAATTCCATTTAAATATGATAGTATTTTTTTTTTTTTGTTTAAGACACGCCTTTAAGCCCACATAACATACGTTGGAGCAATTATTTTGAATTAAAAATTTTTTTGTTAATAGATTAGAGTATTTTCGTCAAATGCAGTCCTGGTTTGAATCTTAGGTGTATGAGGATGTACATGCCCATATTGTAGTATTTATAGTGTAAAAGTTAATTTTCTATATAAACAAACATTGGTGACGATTTTCGAGATAGACGCTGTAATATTATAACTGAATTTAATTTAGAAATTAACACTCGAAATTCACTTGTTCATCTCTAACGTAAATTAGATTGTGCTGCTTAATTAGAATGATGAGATTCTTAAATTTAAAAATGGTTTGAATATTTGCAAGTCAGAAGAAATTGTGTAATTTAAGCCACGAATTTTCATAAGGAATTGAATATTTAAAATATCTATTCTTTCCAATTTATCATATTTCCATATTTTTGGTACGACACAAATACTAACTAGATTTTACTAAAAATGAAGTATATTAATGATTTATTATAGATCACATACAAATATGGCAAGCATTTCAGATGCACAATTTCAATTTCATCACCACCATCGATTTTAAAATTAAATCTAAATTTAATTCTGATATATTTTAAAAAAGAATGCTTACCTTCAATATCACAAACCAAAAAAACAAAAAGAAAAGGAGAAATCAGACGATCCTGGTTGAAGAACAATTGAAATACAATGTGCTCCTGTAGCTGTTGCAATAAAATGTTGAAAAATTTATTTTAAGTTGAAAATTTCACACAATTCACTTTATATTTTTTTTTTTTGTATTTTTAAAAATTTCTTTTTGCTTCAAGCTTTTCCTTATTTTTTTTTGAGCGTATAAATCTAGCGTTAAGTATCCTTATTTTACTTTCTTTTTTGTAATTCGTTATATTATGCGACAAATAGAATGTTCTTCAAGGAACTTGCATAAGATAAAACAATTTATTTATAACAAAAAAAATAATAAAAAAATTCGTTCAATCCTCTGTAAAATTTTTAAAAATTCTTTCCCTTCAATAATGTCAATGATTTTTGATTTTGCAAGTTTGTTACAAAAATTTTCCAAGTATCTTCTCATTCAATAAAATTTTGTTCTCAAATAGTTTCCACTATCCTTTTTTTCCCAACAACATTCATAGAAAATTGAAATTATTTTTATTTTTTTTCTTTTTTATGTTTTTGACAGTATTTTCAAATACACATAATGTAAAAACCAAAAAAACCAATAAAACCAAAGGCAAATAATGAAAATTTTTTCTGCTTTCTAACACGAATCCTGTTAGAAAAAAAATTATTGTTATATACGTTGCAATTGTAAAGGAACAGTAAACCGGAAGGATATGTCAATAAAGAAATTCTTCTTTTTTTCCTCTTTTTATTGTGCAGTTGAAAAAAAAATGGCGTGTAAAATTAAAAAAACAAAAATGAACGGAGAAAAACTGAAATATCCAACAAAAATAAAATAAAATTGTGCGATTTTTCTCTGTTGTTTTACTTTTCTTTTTTTGTCTTTTGATCGTTGCTTTTTTTTTATATAGAAGAAATTATTTTAATTCCAACTACTTAGTGATGAATTGACTTGGATTTTGAAAAGTTTTCTACTACTTGCTTGATTATTCTCTTTTTTTTTTTCCAAAAATTATTGTTTTAAGCGTATGGCAGCAATTCTATATGTACTCGACGTGTCGTACAAAATAGTGAAGACAAAATGTTTCCGATAGAAAATCAAAAAGTTTTTTCGTTGTAAAAATTGATTTGCATTGCTTTCCGAACATCTGCTGTTGTAATATTAAACTGCTTCTCTAATTTTAAGTATTTTTCGTATTTTATTTTCTTTTTGTTTTTCTACTTTCTCTTTTAAAATTGAAACATAATTTTTTTATGTGTTTTTGATGAGATTGTAAGTAGTTATCGCTTAAAGGCTTTTCTCTCTATTGTTGAGCTTAAAACTTATTATTATTTTGTATTTTGTTTTTTTCTTACTACTCAGTAAACTATTATCACTAGTGTGGCGCTCTTCTCTTACTATTGTTCTCTTTATTATTGTGTTATTACTGTTTTGATTTTTTTTCTTGATTTTGTGCTGCTATTGCAGTTTTGATGACAGTAACGAAATAAATAGAATCTTTAAAACTTATTTTGTTTTTTTTTGTTTGCTATTTTATGCTTTTTGCTTTATCGTTTTTCATCAACAATAACAACAACATCAACAACAGCGAATAAATAAAATCATGTAATGTAAAATCGAGATTATGATGCTGCTGTGATAATGTCGAAGAAAATGTTTAAAAAAAACAAAAGAAAAATGTTGCTATCTTCTTAGCATCTGAAAAAAACAAAAAAAAAAGAAAATAAAAATTATTTGTATAAATAAAATTTGTAAAAAAATGAAAGAAATAAAAAATTTAAGAAGAATGTATAAGGGAGGAGATTATAGAAGTTTAGAGAATAGGAAATGAAAATTTGATGTGGGGGAAGGTAACGCAATGAACAAAAAATAAGTTGAAGAAAAAAAGAGAGAAAATACAAAAAAGCAAATGAAATAAAGAAAACTTCTCTTTCATTTGTTTTCAATTTTCCTTCTAAAGAATCTCTCTTGTGAATTCATTTAAAATTGAAATTTTTATTATGTTGACATTATGAAGATTTCAATAAATTTTATTGTTTTTATAAGTATTTCCTTTTTATTTTATTTTCTATTTTGTTTTTTTTTTGTTTTTTTTTTTCTTTTTTAAATTTTCATCTCAATTTTCTTCATATTATTTAAGATATTACATGAAAATGAATTACAATTTTATTTTTTTATTCATTTTATTGAAAAATTGGGCAATCTATTAAAGTAGTGAAAAATTGAGTTCATGCTCAAATTGTCGATTAAAAGCTTCTTGAAATCACTTGAAAGATATTTGAACCAACACAATAAATTGGGAAAAAAAGCAGCTATTAAGGAGTATTAAAATAAAGAGTGAGGAATGTAGATAAAATAAATTGGATGATCAAATGAAGATTTTGGTTTGAAAAGTTTGAAAGCAAATGCAATAAATTCAATATTATTTAGTGAATATTTGCACAAAATTAGGCACATTACGTATTTTAACAAGCTAACAAGCGCAATAAGTATTTATAAGCTTGTAATTCTTCAGTTTTTTTCTTATTCTTCAAAAATTCTATTAGTCATTTTAGTTTTCATTTTTAATTCAATTCTTAACGTGAAAATGTAAAATAACTCGATTACCACTGATACAACTGATAGTAGATTACCCTTCATTGCTACTTAGAGATGTTAAAAAGAAATTTTCTATGCATATGTAAGTTGAAAACAAAAAAAAAAAACTTTTGAAATATTTGAATTTTGAAATGAATTTACAAAATTATTTTTAGAAGTGCATTTTTTAAAGTTTAATATTGAAATTTGCCTTAAATCATGAAAATATAATATAAAATCATCCTAAAATTATGCAAATTTTTTCGTTTGTCGTATATTTTTTTTTGTTGTAATAAAAATTGAATACGCGTATAATATGTTTAAATTCTATTACAATAGCATTGTATAGCGTAATATTTAAAACAATTGTGTCATATATTTCTTCACATAATTTGGAACGATAGCAATAATATACGAAAATGCATTTTTTTTTAAATTTTTAAAAAATTGCAATATTATTCTTTAGATTGTTAAAGTTTATCTAAAAATATCAAGTATTGCGTGGCACAGTATAATCTTTTCTCCTATTATTGAAATATGGTGGTTTAGTTACAGAGTTCACAAAATTTTCTCATCAGCGGGTTCCCGAATGTGAGGGTGCAGTAATTTGATAAAATGCTTAATTTTGCCTTATTATAAGGCTACTAGTATGCCTAAAAAACTATTTAAAATTCTGATCAAGTTTTTATGGAACTCTTACACTAAACTAAAGACTTGGCCATGCATTAATTACATTTTTGTTATAAGTATTTTTTTTTAATAGAAAACGAAAATCGAAAATATTAAAATTTAAATAGCACACAATACATTATAGAACAAAGGTTAAACACCGAAACAAAATTTGCAAAAAAAAAAAAAAAAAATATATTAGAAACACAATTTTCCATTTGAAAAACTAATTAAATCTCAATTCAATATCGATTTCATAATAACATTGTGCACAAAAGTGCATCTGATAAATTTCAAATAAATGTTCAAAATAGCACGTACTTGGTTCTATTGTATATTTCATTAGTAATCACCACACGATACATGCATTTGAATTTTATAAAATGAATTTTAATTGCTATATAGTGGAAAGGTGATATTTTAATTTCAATTTATTCCAATTCAATTTAATAAAACAATAACTCATAAATTATAGTTTTTGTTTGTTAATTCCTAATTTTTAGATAAGTTTAAACAATTAGAATGTACTGGAAAAAAAAATTTAAAAAAAAATTTATCAAAAAATATTTACAAAAAATTTGCATATTTTACGGGTTCAATTTTTTATTAGTTTGTTCTCACATTTATTTATCGTTTTCGTGAGGAAAAAACGGTCTTAACTCCAATATATTTGGATTTGTATTTTTGGTATAATGATTTTAAAAATTTGCCTTTGATTTGATCTAATTTCTATAAAAGAGCTCTAAGAAAAAAATCGAAATTAAGACGGAGGCAAACAAATGAAATTTTGAATAAAATTACAGAATTCAAGAGGCATAAGATTTACTTTAATGTTCTTTAAACTCTAATCATATTGTTTTAAATGTTCGATATTAACGATTTCTTGATAAAAGTTTTTTTAATTTAAAATATTTTTAAAATATTTTGGAATAAGAATGTAAAATCTATAGTTAAAGAATTAAAAAAATTGACCAGAATTATCGCCAATAATTATCGGTAATTTTTAATACCAATAATTTTTGAAAAAATTAAAAATATACTCGTATGTTACTACTATACTCTTGAGGCAATTTAAAGTTATTTAGAATTTTAAAACAGAAAATTGTATCACTCAACTAATTTAATCTCATGCACACGTTTAATCAAAATTATAAAAATTGAAGACGTCGAATAATTTATATTTCACTCAAAATATTTAAAAAAAAAATTCTCATTTTAAATGCATCGTTAAATATTCACCAGATGTTGAAATAAAATCGACACAAGTACAAATTTTTCGAATATAAATATTTGCTATACCATTTAGATATTTGCTATACCATCGCAATAACCAAATATATTAGAAATGATAACTTTGACATCAAACTACATAAATATACCAATCTAGCTATATACAATGGTTTGGTGTATATAATGCTTCTAATACATAGGCACACTTATAAAAATGTTTTGGTAAATTAAGAAAAGAAAATTAAAAAAATATGCCCTCGAATAATGTAAACAAATAACAAAGAAAAATAAAAAATATTTCTAAAACCAGATGACATGGGAGAGCATAAAAACAAAAACAAAAAAAAACGAAAAAATAATAAAATTTATGAAATTTTCCATCTGGTCTATATTAAAATTTTCTGATCAGAAATAAGATTCAATGGTCCGATTTTAATGATTATAATATTAATAATGACGATAATGATGATGAAACATTTTCGAAATATTTTGCAGAAAAAATAAATTTTTTTTTTTTTTTATAAAAATTTCAACCAAAAATTAATGAAATGAATAAAAAAAATATTTACGGAACTCAATAGCTGTACCTAATATTGTAATACAATAATGTCATATTCGAGTACATTTAAAAATTTTTTTAATATAGGTCTATTAATACATAAAATCCAGAAGTTTGTACCTATTTCTGCTCTCTAATCAGAAAAATATTAATTCTAAATAAGTATAATTTTATCCATTTGAAAATCTACGATCAACGCGAAATGAAGAAATTTTATTTCCTTACTTTTTATGTTATCATTGTAGAATTTAAATTAATAAAAAAAATTCAGGAAAATTTCAGAAAAATTAAGCAAACTTGAAGCAATAGGAACAATTTAAAGGATTTTTTTCTGAAATCTTCTATTACAAACCAATTAAAAGCATTAAAATAGTACAACTTCACGATTTCAAAAAATTCAAATTTTACATTGTTTATAAAAGAAAAAAATTAATATTAAGTAATTACCACGTTTCCACAATATCCAATATTGAATATCATTGACCAGCAAAATAAAAACAATAAATATCAAAAACCTTAAATATTTAATATGTAGAGAGAGCCCTACAGTCACCTACCTAGTAAACCCAACGACGAAAGAAACTTGTTTTCTACGATATCATATACTAGCCCCATGATCCTCCCAGGAGAGAATAGCTATAGCTATATGAAACTATAGAACTGTGGTTCAAGAAATAAAAATTTTCAGCTGAGTTTTGATTTTTCCACAACGCTACACTCAATAAGATTAGAATTCAATTTTTAGAGAAATAGTTTTCGACAAACTTTACTCGAATTTCATGCCAATAAGATCATAATAAAATAATTAAATTTTTTATTTTTCAATTTTCAAAAAACTCATAAACAATAATAATTTATAAGAAGCTCGAATTCAAAAATAAGACTTAAGAATTAACAATAATTTATTGATCACAAGTATGAAATTAAAAAAAAGAAAATCGATTAATTATGGTAATGAAGTTGAAATCAGAATTAAAGAGAGTGGAGCTGGGTAAAAGTGTTCTCTTTTGGAAAATTTCTCGAAATTCATTTTATTTTTTGTTTTTAATTTTCTGTTTTCTTTCTTTTCATCTTGATTTTTTCCATTTTTATTTTTTAATAGAATTAGTTTTGCTTCCATTATCGAAGCATATCGAATCTAATTTGCATAAAATTAATTAGAGCAAAATAAAAATGTAAAAAACAAAACAACCATTAAACCTGATGTGGTCAGCACATAACCGACCGCAATATGTTTGGTGAAAATGCTACAGAAGGATTTTGGGATGTTAATAGAATTTTTCTTTGTGCCATACGAATTCCCTGAAAAGATTACCAGTTAGTTTTAGTATCAACCACAACTCAAATATCAAAACTCAAAAATTTTATCAATCTGTTCCGAAGATATAGTAAAAAATGTAAAGTCGGCCCTCAGTTGGATTTTTGAGCCCGGATTTTTCAGAAAAATTATAGATTCACTGTTTTAACACCCGAAATTTATAAATTAAATTTCAAGGAAATTGGTTGATAATTTCTACTTATGCTCGCAAACATGAAAAATTGGCCCCAAAAACGGTCCAGTTCCCGAGGTCTAATAAGATAAATCCCCCCTCCTCTTAATTAATGCCTCTAGATTAATTCGTAACATAGACAAAATAAACTCACATATAAAATTTTA